GAGGTCAGGTTACTGAGTCCCAGCTTCTCCTCTGCCTGGTCCCTGTAGGTTGACTGTGTCCTCTCCCCATGGCCACAGCTCCTCTCAGGCCAGGCAGCTCTCTCCATACAGCTCTGCCTCTGGATGCTAAGTGTCCTCTCTGCCTTTTCCTTTTCAGGCAGAGGAGTGTTTATAATGCCTCCTCACAGTTTCTGGGCCCAGAGTACTACAGTGCTTTTCCTATACCTTGCTCACATCTATGTAGATGGTCCCTTTATTAACTCACCCAACTGCCCCGCTCGAGGTGCCACCTGTTTTCTGCTGGGACTCTGCATGAAACAGAGCTGATCCCACCTGGGGTCAGTGAGGCTGCCTAGCTGTGCTGGCTGGGCCTCTGCAGGCCCTAGGCCTCTTAGTCCTTAAGAAAAGCAAGATCCTCCCTAATGGGGCTTCAGAAGAACTTTCAAATAAAGCCCAGGATGGCCTTTCCATGACTGTTTGATACCCAGTCTCTTTCCTGGATCTGACTCCTGGGAAACCGTGAATCACCCTCATATCCTCAGCCTTCAACAGTCCAATGCAACTGCTTCTAAGCTCATGGCTTCTTCCAGCTTGTTTAGTTTTTTTTCTTTTCTTTTCATGTGCTTTCCCTCCCACATTCCTCTTGTTCCCTCAGCCCTTTTCTGTGCTCTGCTTAGAATATTCTTCTCCCTTCTTCAGCGGGGGCCCCGCTCTCATGCGACCCCCTCATGCGACCCCCTCACGCGAGAAGTAGAATTTCCTTTTTCGAGCGCTTGGCTTTTACTTCTGCAACGGCATTCTCCAAACTCTATCTACACTGAGCTGTTGAATTTCTAAAATGTTTTATCTGTCCATAAGATGATAAATTCAAGCTCCCTCTGAACTGGACTTCAGATCCAAACATAGTGCCTTACAGTTTGTCTGTGCTCAAAAGTATGTGTAGGAGGGCTGGATGGTTGACTGATGAACAGAGGGATATTATTTATTACTTTACTCTTCCTTCTGTGGGGTTTCTGAGCTTTAAAGTATCTGTCTGATATTATCTCATTCTTCTTCACCAATTTCCTGTTAAGATGAACACCTTCAAAACTCATTTTTTATTAACAAATATTCTCAATGCTTGGTACGAAAAAGAAATACAATTATTATATGCCCTGGCTGGTATGGCTTAGTGGATTGAGCACCAGCCTTTGAACCAAAGGGTTGTTGGTTCAATTCCCAGTCAGGGCACATGCCTGGGTTGTGGGCCAGGTCCCCAGTAGGGGGTGTGCAAAAGGCAACCACACATTAATTAATGTTTCTCTCCCTTTCTCCCTCCCTTCTCCTCTGTGTAAAAATACATAAATAAAATCTTTTTTTTAAAAAGGAAACAATTAGTATACAAACATTCATATTAGCATTCTGAAAGACTTTTATGTTGATAAACATGGTAATAGTTTGGGTTCTAACTACACTAAATAATTCAGTTTAATATTCCATAGTTTTTTCAGCTAACTGATAATTAAAGAAAGAAATAGATCCATCTTGGTACAGAATGTCTTAACCAAATTGTGGTGCTTTAAATAAAATAATGTGCTTATTTGCAAGTGAGAAAATATTTAAATATCCTGTATGCATTACATGTATACAAGGTAGTCTTAGACACATGTTCAGTCCCTCATGGTCTCACTGCACATTGCATTTTTCAAATGAAATATAATCATGCTTAGAAAGAATTAGTGCCATGTTTTACCCATGGACGGACTGTGATATCATATGAGAATTATTGATTACAAAGATGTGTGTTGGGCAATAGACTATTAAAATGATACATACAGTCATGCATGTGCTAGACATAATTGCGAAAAATATTTTAAGTCTTTCTCTTTCTTCTTTTTTTTTTTGCCTCTTGGGACTACTTTTAAATTAATCTTACAGCTACAAATAACCTGGCTTTTACAGAATTATCTGAAGCTAACTCTGATGCCTAATTAGGGCCCTCACATGTAGCTACATTAAAGTTCTGCTAACATTCCCTTGCTAAAACCCTTTCCACAGACTGTCTGCTGGAGTTAATTTTCTCTAGGCTACAAGGAAAAGCCCTTGCTTAGCAGCATTTCTCTACAGTCTTTCTTCCTTTGTTCTCAAGCAAGCCTATCATTTTGTCTGGAGCCCTTCGCTGTTGTTACGGGGGGCATGTGGGTCTGTGGGTCTAACATCCCCTCCCTGCTTTGTCTCAAACAGTCCTTTCAACTGCTTTGCCAAGTGCTCCTCGCACATTTTTGACACATACTTTTCAATTGAAACATGTAGATCTGCCTTGAGGAGAAATACTTGTAGTTAATCTCCTGTCCCAGATCCAGAGGACCCACGTGCTTACATATTACCTAAATCAATCATGTTTTCAAAGCAGCTCAGATCACATGGTTATTTCAGATGCTTCTCTGAATAAATATGGAAAACTAAAACAGGAAACTTGAGTACATGGCATTGCATTAGATCATCTTTCCATGAAACCCATGGAAAAAAGCAATGTGATTACAAACTGTGAAGTAAAGTCTTTAAGAAAAGTAGTGGTGGGGTGGGGGGAAGTACTTTGCCACTTACCTAGTGTCCTCACATAAATTTCTTCATTTTGATTTTGATCTCTTGGCATCCTTGTTACACAGGAGATAACTATTATTATTTCCCATTGCTGATCAGAAAACTAGTTCAGAGGACTCAAATCTAACTGTTCTGACATCTTATTCAAAATCTTTGAATGTTACAGTTAGATTAGCAATTCTTTTTTCTAATTGGAAAGCATGAGAAACGGGTATTAAAATTTTATAAAATCTAATCTTGGCTTGGGTTTTTTGTTGTTGCTGCGTCTTTTGTTTCCTTTTTTTCTCCTCTTGGATCTCTTCTTGGACCTTTCCTTCCTCTTCCCAGATGGGCAGCTGTAGCCTTCTCTCGTGACTCAACAGCACAGCACACTGTTAGCAAATACCCATTGAACACGCAGCCTAGGCAGGCAGACCCCAGGGGAGGCTGCTCTGGCTCTAGCACAGCAGAGCACCTGGAGAAGTCATGGCATCCTAAATGCTTTACCTGAGGGAACTGCAGAGTAGAGGCTGCCCAGAGGAAGCCCCTAGTTTATGGAAAATTTTAAGCTGCAAAGAACACTACTAGTTTTAAGAATGATCTACGTCAGCCCTGACTGCTGTGGCTCAGTTGGTTGGGTGTCATTCCACAGGGAAAAAAGTCAGGGCACAGGTTTTAGGTTGTCCCCCAGTGGGGGCATGTAGGAGAGGCAATTGATGCTTCTCTCCCTTTCTCCCTCCCTTCCCTTCTCTCTAAACAAATAAATAAATGAAAAAGAATGGTCTGAGTCAGATGATTCCTAGTAAAACAAAGCAGAGCACTGAAATCCTTTTCTTGATTCGAGTGTCAATACTTCTTGAGTCCTTGCTTTCCCCACTCTCAGGTATGCACAGTGCTAACCACCAAGAAGCTTCTCAGGAGATGGGAGTCACTTCTCAACACTTTTGTCTCGAGATCGTCAAGATGTCACCTCAAACGTCCAAGCTCTTTTCTGACCACTTAAATGCATGGGCATCAACCCCAAGTCACTCTCCATTCTATTTTTATGATAGCCCCATCACTATCAAACAATATATTCAATATACATTTTCTGTGTTCAGACTTAATTTGGGATTGGCAATGGAACATCCAACTGAATAACAAGAAAAAAGAAACCAAGCCAGCCTCGTTTGAACTTGGTTTATGAAAACTACACGTTTCATTATTCTTACCTTGAAAATGCAGTCAAGGTGGACAAACCCTCCTCTGACATACTTTGTACAACCTACATTAGAAAAGAGAAATGGTAGGATAAGAAGGATCAGTTGTGTTCATATGGTCAAATAGGCACTATCCAAATTTCCAAGTGACAGAAAAAAAATTGATCACTTTCAAGGTGCTGTGAAAATTGAACATAAATCTATGTAAGTAAATATTGTCATGCTCCCCAGAAATCAGGTGCACTTATATAAATTTAAAGAGTGAATATTATGTTATTGATTAAAGAAATGAAATTCTCCAGTTTGACGTCTAAACTTTTGATGTAGTAACAGAGCTTCTGATTCTATGATTATGTGTAATCATAAACACTCTACTTCAATGTCAAATTAGTCTATCCATTCAGCAAATAGTTACAGACTCCCTGTTATTTGCCAGGCACTGTATTAGATGCCTGGTGAGGCAACCATGAACAAAGCAGACACACGGCCCTCACGGAGCTTTTGGTGGAACAGGAAAGGGAGACATTAATCAGACAAACACCAAAAACAATCTACAGATGATGATGCCTGATATAAAAGAAACATGTCAGATGCTATGAGAACATACAACAGGCAAAACCACTCCGGTCTGGGTTTGGGGAAGGTCTACCAAAGGAAGCAACATCGGGGTTGAAACATGCATGATTAGTTGTTGACTAGGCGAAGATGGGAATATGGAGAGTGAAGAGTGTGTGTGTTCCAGACGGTGGAAATATCATGTTCAAAAGGACTGGGTAAATTTGCCTTGCAGCTGTTATGGCTTTAGGAAAACATGTCTTTTGGAGCACTGTATTGACTTTTGCTGCCAAATAGCTAAATATACTTGGTTTGTGATTATTTATGAAGTTATATTTCTAGGCAGTTCATGTGAACAGAATATCATGAAGCAAAGGAATTAAGAAGCACAGAAAAGCTGGCTAGCTGGACGAACCTCAGAAACTGCTAACCAGATGCTCTTTTTGTGAACTGTATTTCCTTTGAAAATCTCTATGAGGTCTTTCAACACTTTCCCATCATCATCTCTAAACTGCACATTATTTTAGGGACAAAGGGGGAGAGGTTAACAAAATTCATAATTTATAAGCCCACTTTCCAAACATGCATACTGGGTTCTGGTTCACTGGACAATTCTGAATTTTGATCACTTGCCAAACAAATAATGGAAAATAAATGGCTTGATCATTCTGTTACCTTCAACAGTTGTAAATCAAGATGGCCAGCCTCTCATAGAAGGAAAACTCAAAGAGAAGCAAGTCAGATGGAAGTTCATCAAAAGGTGGAAAACCCGTTATTTCACGCTGGCTGGAAATCAACTTCTGTTTCAAAAAGGAAAGTCCGTAAGTTCCTCTGTTGTTTCTTACACTTGCATTTTTAAGGTCTTGATTGGCACCGATCAGCTCAGTAGGCATTTTGTCTTGAGTTAAAATACCGATATATTTTTCCTTCTCCATTTTACAGTTTTACAGTGTTATTTTGTTACCCACGTTCCTTGCACTGTCTATTCTGTTGAGTTCTATGTTAGTTGGTTCACGATCCCTGTTAAGTTTATTATGGGGACTGTTTTTGTTGACTGAAGTTTTAGAAGATAAACTGCTCTTGACCGAAACACTGTGCCTCTTGTTGCCTTGTGGGTCACCTACATAAATGTGTGGCTCATCATAGGGACCGTGATTTCTTTTGTGACTACAGGTTACATTTAGACATGGGGACCTAAGGAAGGGGGAGCATCGGCAGGGAGGAAGAAATAAAGGCTGATTTATTTTAAGTAACTTTTGACATCAACACATTCATTTTGATTAGGGAAAAAAAGATTACTGTCTTTCATTCATGTAATATTCAGTTAATGAACAAAATGGGACTAATTCTAAAAGAATTAATATTTAACAGAATTTTCCATCTGAACTAGGATGCTCGATAAAATCTGAATTCTAATTTTCAGTGGGAAACATATCTCCCATTAACAATGTAAAGTTAACCCCTTCTTGTCAAAGCAGTTTTATTTATCATTAAACTCTACTCATTCAAGATCAGGGCAAATGAAATCTTGACCTACTTCTTGGCTAGATCGAAATGTAATGGCTCATCACTGCTTGTCACAGGACACACAGGATTGCCTCTCACAGTCCTGGGAGGTCAGCACCATGACCATTGCCATTTTGCAGGTGGGGAAACAAGGCTCAAAGAGCCTGATTGGCTTGACCAAAGATGGGGCCAGTAAGGTAGGCTGGAGCTGGAGTCAGGCCGGGGCAGTCAGCACGACACCAAAGCCCTGCTTCCCATGTTCCCTAAATGCAGAGCCAGTGGCAAACCAAACCGTGTTGGAATTAATTAATGGAAGGTGTTAAATTACTTAAAAATAGTTGCACTGAGAACATACATATGCATTGTATCTTTGGAGTGCCCATTATGAAGTTTATTTGCATTTATTACCCAACAAGAATCCAGAACGGTATATCTGAATTTGACAAATTCTGATCAGTGCTCTTTTAATCAATAAAACTTCATGTTAACTTTTTGAATGGACAAAAAGAGACTTGGATGACACCTACTCTGAATTCGTGTTACTTTCTTCATTTGTGTGTATTACAAAATATACAGATGGATTTTTCTGTAGGTGAAGATCTTTTTTAAAGAGAAATATAATGGTGTATTCAATTTAGACAGTTATTTGAGATTTTAAGAGACTTTTTTTAGCATAGGTTCACCTTGAAGCATTTTTAAAGTGTTAAAAAATGGCCACCCGAATGTCCCGGTTTTAGTAAAGCAATCAGGAATAGAAGCTAAGTTGTAGTGATTTCTCAGATCCCTTGAGACAAAGCAGAGTCAGGAGAAAAGAGTGTTTTTCCTGAACTTAAATAATGACCTTTAATACTTCTTGACTCAGAGCTTTTTAACAAAGTTTAAAGAATAAGCTATTTTATAATTGGCTGACTTGTTTGACATCTTTATCAGGAAATAATGGCTTGACATTCCCGAAACCTGACGAAACATATGGCTCAAACATCGGGAAATAGTACAGTGCAGCATGAGGACCACAGAGCAATCGCCCTCACCCCCAGGCACACAGCAACCAGGCGGTGATTAGCCATCTAGCCAAAGCTTCAGCCACGTCGTAAAGGGCTTTTCTTGTAAATGAGAAAAACGTGAACTTTAAAATAAAAACTACAAGACCACAGTGTTATTTTCTACTGTTAAGAACACCGTTGCATTCTTAAGGTCTTAATCTCTACTAGCCAGAGAGGCAGCAGTGTCCTTTGGCTTCCCGTCCGTTTCTATCTCGGCTAACTCACTGTCCCTTTTTAGGTTACTACGGTTTCATTTCTTTCTTAATCGGTTCTTTCATGTATCAATTTCTGTACTATAAACTAACCCCCAAAAAACCATTTAATTACTGTCAGATACTATAAATCAAAGTAAGCTGGCAAAGGATTGTCTACTACAGATATCTTCAAACTTTATCCTATATACCCGCTAAAAGAATGTTGGAAGATCTATATTACCCTATAGCATTTTAACTTGTATCAACAATTTTATCATAAGTTTAAAGAGTTGCACACACTGCAGTTTCTGTTGAACTATGAATATTGTCATTTTTAAATAACAAGATTACAAATAACAAATGTAACCATTGAAATAAAATATCATAGCAATTTGACACCTAATACTATCCATTTAAAAAATTACATAAATTAGTTCTTCTTCTTGCCCTGGCTGGTGTGGCTCAGTGGATTAGTGTGGGCCTGTGTACCAAAGGGTTACCGGTTCGATTCCCAGCCTAGGACACATGCCTGGGTTATAGATCAGGTCCCTAGTAGGAGGTACACAAGAGGCAACCACACGTTGATGTTTCTCTCCCTCTCTTTCTCCCTTCCTTCCCCTCTCTAAAAATAAATAAATAATTAAAATTTAAAAAAAATTTAAAATTAGTTCTAAGTAGAAATGTTTACATTGTTTCATTTTTTCTCTGAAATCATATTTTTGTTCTACCTCTCTCACAGCATTTCATTGAAATCACCCTATCATTTTTCACTGCAATAAAACTATGAATATCAATTGAAATTTAATTTTAATTTCTTGTGACCATCAGTCTCCAAATGTTAAGATTTTTTATTTTTATCTTTTAAATATATTATAGCATTTATGAAAAACCATAATACCAAATGTATTATTATATTATGAATTACTAAACATAAAAAAGTCAAATGCTGTTAGAAATAGATGAGAAGTGAGTATGTTACCTTGTTTGGAGGATACTTCCCTGACATCAATATTGTAAATTACTTTTTTTGTTTGTTTGTTTTTTGCTCTTGAGATATTTCCAAGTTGCATAATACACCATAGAAAGTTTGGGATGAGTGAGAAGGGTGTCTTTTCATTGCAGAGTGAAAGAAGGGTAATTGTATAGGAAAGGTGGGAAAGGGGAATTGATGGGATCCTCAACCACAGGTACATTCTCAAGTAGACAAAATGGACTCAAGGATGTTAAAGACCTGAAATTGCTTAAAAGAAGTATCTGATCCCTTAACACTATTCATGCTAGCCTGTTGTGATTACCTGTGCTGTAGAAATCCTTAGACTTCTGCTTTGGTGCAAGAAAAATGTAAGTCATTAAATATTTCTTCACTTGCATTTGTAGACACATCATGCTTCCAAAGTTCCACAGAATTTCAGAGCTTGATCTACTTAAACATTGAAACCCTTTTGATTCAATTAATACCCTTTTCTCAGAGATAGCACAAAGTAAAATTAAATTCCATGCCTTCTGAGTAATCTCATTCTGAGTTAATAGTACTCCAAATTGTACTGTTGCATCTTTCTCTATTAATACAAAGTTAATATCAATACAAAATGACATAAAATAAAAAAATATATGGATTAAGCATTTTTCCCAATCCCGCTGTATACCATATTTTGCTGTGTACAATGTGCACCTCCATTTTTGGCCCAAGCTTTCAGGAAAAAAAATCTTTTATTTTAATTTTTAATTCATTTATATTTAGAAACAATAAAAATTTTGTATTCGAGAGTATTATTTTGCATGCAGATATCATTATTGCTTTCTGGAGTTACACTTTTAACACATAAGCATAAATAAAAGAATTAAAAACATTTATATAGATATAGAACTACTACTACCCATGTTTAATATGCATCCTTATTTTTTCCTCAAAAGTTTGGGCAAAAAAGTGCACATTATACATGGCAATATACAGTTATTTCTATAAATTGGCTATCTTGTGTCAATTTATGATACAATAACAAAGAGTCCATTGCTCACTTCTTCATTGTTCCAACAACTCTCTGAGACATTAATGCCCAAAGTATCAAAGCTCTTGAGCCCTATGAAGTGAAAGGATTCTGATCCTCCTGGAAAAGTCTCCAGTAGCCAGAGGTCTTTTCATACTCTGGGAACCAGCTCATGATTTTTACTTCCCATGTGCATTTCAGAAAGATGATCCTGATGACTCACCAATAGAACTCAGCAAAGTCCAGAGTGTGAAAGTTGTGGCCAGGAAACGCAGGGACCGCTCTCTCCCTCGGGCTTTTGAAATCTTCACAGACAATAAAACCTATGTTTTCAAGGCCAAGGATGAGAAGAATGCAGAAGAGTGGCTCCAATGCATCAATGTGGCAGTTGCCCAAGCAAAAGAGAGGGAAAGCAGAGAAGTAACCACATATCTATAGGGATTTGCAAGCCAACCTCACATCGATTGTATACAATGGCATTGCAATATCATTGCCAATGTCAAGAAAAAGATATAAATCCACCAAGTCATGCTTTTTACTGAATACCAGTGGGAGAGTTTTTCCTCAGAAGCAAGACCCAAAAGTAGCAGGATTCTTATTACGTTTCATATCCTAATGGCGTTTGCATTAATTTTGGAACACCTGGTTGGTGCACACAGTAAGGAAAAGGAGCTACAGGTGGGATGGGGCCAGAAAGCAGAGTGTTGGGATCCAGGGGCTTCTGTAGATACGTCATCGTACATTACAAGAAAGCACCTTCAAAAGATACCTGCATACATATCCTGAGGAAAGATTAGCCATTTCCAATGAAAACCACAGCATGTCAAAAGTATTAAAAGAAAAAAAAAACTATTAGGAAAAGTCAAATTAAGGACACTGAAGAAAACCATATGACTTACTTATAGACATTATTACATTTATCCTCTCTTAATGCAAATGCAGCTAACCATAGTAAAATAGTTAAGCCAGTTATGCAATTCAATTAAATATCTGTCTTTCGAGCTACTTATCTGATTGTTCCTTTTTGGTTTATATAATATGACCTGAAGTTTAGATGCTTGCGTGTGTCTCCCACCCAGGGCAGTGAGTCTAAGCTAGGATAAGCACAGGAAACCATTTTCTCCATCTTCAAAACGTGTGCTACGCCCATTTATACTAGAGATTTCATTTTATTTGTTTTTAACTTGAGGTTTTAAAATCCTATACTTTTCTTCTTTGTATTCAACCTTTTAATGCCTCCAAATTAGAAACATTTATTGGCTTTTGCCATTACCCATATTTTTTTTTAAGAATTAAGCTGTGGTAAGCAGAACTCTAGGATGACTCCCAGTGACCCACACCCTGGTATAACCTTCTCCCCTCGAGTGTGGGGCACCCCGTAACTTGCTTCTAACTAATAGAACGTGTCAAAAGAGATAGACAGGTCTCTCCAGTTACATTACTTGGCAAAGATAAAGAGATTTTGCTGGTACAATTAAGGTCTGTAATCAGTGGCTTTGAATTTGTTCAAAGGGCAAGCCTGACCTGATCAGATCAGCCCTTTTGAAGAGGACAAACAAGTCAGAGACTCTCCCCCATTGGCCTTGATTTAAGCAAGCTGCTCTGAGGCCTGCAGCTTCAAGGAAATGAGCTTTGCCAGCAATCAGCGAGTTGGGAAGAGGATGCTGAGCCTCACACGAGAGCCCAGAACCAGCCGACACCTTGAGTGCAGCTTACGAAACCCTGAGCCAGGGACCCAGCTGACCCACTCTTGGACTCCGAACCCATGGAAACTTTGAGATAATAAATATATGCTTTTATAAGTTGCTAAGTGTGCAGTGATTTGTTTTGTAGCAATAGATAGCTAATACAAAAGCTTACTTGGACTATCCAGAGAGGATAATTTTTTTTTCCTTGAAATTTATTAACTACGTGATTTAGTATAGAAACCTGGAGAAAGATTGCAAGTAATCAGTACCCTTAATTCTACCTTGACTATTGCTAACTCATTAGGATAGGAAATATTAAAGAGGCCAGTTGAGGAAGGAAACAATTCACCTTTAACATATAGCATTTGAGGGCATTTGAGACACAGAAATTATTACAAGTGGGGAAACAGAGTTCTCAAGGTCAATATTTGGGCTCATTGGATATATGGATAGTCACTGAATACATTGAGCAAGGTGAAATTACTCAGGATAAATATGGCAAAAGAGCTAATAAGGGCTTCCTTGGGACACCCAGCACTTAAACAAAGGCAGGCTTGATGGGCTGATTAGTGTTCAGAGATGTCGTGGACCAGGGGAAATGGTATCACAATAGCCAAATAAGTAAGGTTTTCAGGATATAAGAGACAGATCAACAACGTGAAATTGTCAAGAACAATCACTTATATAAAGAACAACTTTTGCAATTAGAAAGTAATTGGTATCCTTGGGAAAAAAACAATTTCATTGAAGTGATGAGGTCAAGTCAGATTTGAGTAGACTGAAAAATCAGCAGGAGCTTAGGAGCTCAAAGCAATAATTGGACTATTCTTTCAACAAAAGGCAGAAGATGAAGGAGCTAAGATGGGCAAAGTGTTTTGCTGTTTGTTTTAAAGATGACTTAGACATACAGGACAAAAGTTTAAAATACAGGAAAAAAGGGAAAATAACTTTGCCTAAGCAAAGTCTTCAGCAGTGAGGAAAAAAGAGTAAGCTCCCTTATGCTGCAGCCATTTATGGAGCAGCTACCAAGCAACAGGCATGGTGCTCGGCCTGGAGGTACAGAAACAGAACACCCAACTCCTCCACTTGAGGCATTCACAGGGTAGCAGAGGAGACAGATATATCAACAGAAACTAAAATGCTACCTTGACAGAGGCTTGAGGAAACACAGGAGAAGGCACCACAGCAACTGACTTTGAACTCAGCGAGGGCTCCCTCCCTGTTGCCCAGAGTTATCAAAGAATGAGCTTGCCTTAAAGCCTATTAGGAATGTTGTAGGCAGACAAGGAGCAAATGGTCAGTAGAGGGAACCACCTTGCAAAGGCGAAGGAGAGAGAGGAAATGTGGTCCATTTGCAAAACAGTGAGTCCTTACCTAGGGCTGGACCAGAAGAGCCTGCTGGGAAATGGTGCAGAAGCATGCTGGGCAGACCCGCAGAGCCACAGCATAAAGGGCTTGGTTCCATGCTGAGGGTCTTGAGCTTTTTCCTTAAGATGGTGAAACATCATTAAAAAGTTTTAAGAAGATTTGCATGTAGAGAAATAATTTGCGTAGTGGTATAAAGAATGGGTTGTAGGGATATCAAATATGATAGCAGGGAAATGATTTGGCAGGGTCTTGAAAGATGGTGAGGACCTGGACTGATGCAGTAGCTGGGCAGACAGAGGAAAATGGAAGTGCAGGACAGATAACTGAATCAGTAACATGGACAGTACTGAAGAGCTGGGTGGAGCTGGGGTGTGGGGATGGGGAAGACTCTCTGATCACCCCTAATGCTCTCTTGGGAAATTCAATGAATGATAGCAGCATCCACTGAGATAGGACATTTCAAAGCAACAGTTTGAGAGATGGGGCAGATGGCAAATTTAATTTTAATGTATACATTCAGAGTATAAATCAGTGATTTACTCTGGACTAGAGGGACACTTCCTCCTATGAAGTCGGGCAGGAAAAGGGTGAGAACAGCTATAGTTCTAAATGATTCTCTAAAAATTATTTTAAAATCTACTATCTCTTTCTTAAGATTCAGTGAGTAACCCTAGCTGGTTTGATCAATTAGGAAAAACTGGTAACTAATGAACAGAAAGGAAACATTAAGTGACATTGCATTTGTCATTAATTATTTAAACACCAACAATGTGCTTGAACCTTTCATAGCAGAGAGGTCACAGTAAAAACGCTGGTTATGTACTCATTCCGTTTTCATTAAATGCTGTCCTGAAAAAAGAGAACGGTCCTACCAGCTCAGTCTGGTATCTTTGTAACAGGTATATTTGCTGCTTGTTACAAAGCTCTTCTTAATTCATGGGATGCCTCTGGTTTATAACACAACTCTCAGAGCCTTGGAACCAGATCTAAAAAGAAGCAAATACACGGAGTCTAAATAATGATCTTTCTGCTTTTATATCACGACGCATTAATTCCAAATGCTAGCAAATTCTCCCGGGTGCAGAATCACACTAGGAATCTCAGACTCGTCAGCTTCCCACTGGTATTGCTGGCGCTTCCACCGCTGTTCCCGGCTGCCTTACCACAGACTGGCCTTTCCCAAGGGGGCTGCCATTCTTTATCCTGATCTAAGAAGAAACCACTTTTCTAAACATGTGCAAAACTTTAAAAATGTTGGTATGAATGCAATTATAATCATGGACAGAAATTCAAGCGGTTTTTATTTTTTTTATTTGGTGTTGACTTTTTCCCACCCAGATAGCTGTGGAAATATAAATGTTTATGTGTGAGAATCTCATCTGGTTATTTCTTGAGAATCTGGAGTTTGGTAAAAATAAATGTTTAATACTTTTCTAATTCTGGGTTTTCTAGAAAATCCTTAGCTGGTGATGTTCAGCCACATTCCCTGGATCATCTTCAATTGACCTACTTTAAATTGATTATAGGCCCCATTGATTATGACATCCTCAGGCATAGGTGAAGATTACCTGGTTGAAAAGCGTTTCCCACTTCAGGAAAAAGTTGCAAGATTCGGCTATGTGAGCCGAATTCCAGGTGCACAGAAGAGAAGTAAATTCCATAAATACCCTCATCAGGATTTCCGGTCCCCAAAATCGAAGTTTTCAAATGAAGAACCAAGAAAAACCCAAGACATCATCTCATGTGTAGACCTCTTCGTTCCCTTCCTCCCCTAAGATTCTTCCGAAAGACAAAGGGGTTGGCAGATCGGGGAGGTTTCTACTGGGACTGTGGAATCTTAGGGAAGGTGGCACAGGCTCTGGGCACAGATACATGAAGACTCAAGTCCCAGCTCTACCAAACTAAAGTACCAACCTGCGTAAAATGCGCATCCCCCGCCTCTAAGCTGGGCTGAGATGGAACAGAACTGGGGGAAGCCTCCAGCAGAGAGCCTTTAACTTATCAACCTGTGCTGGATAACGACTCCCCCGTAAGGAGGGAGAATCCTGCCGATTGGATGTGGTGCCTTCATAATGTCCACTGAGGAGTGTTTCACTTCCAACTGGCTTTTGTCTGTTGTCTGTGGGATTTGGCAGTTTCTTCTGACTTCAGGTACTTTCTGTGGTGTGTGACAGGCAGGTCATATGGTGAAACGTGGATCTATCCACACGGTGACATCCTTCTTTCTTAGGTGAAACACTTAGTGGTTGCTTTGCAACCCCGCGTGGAACTGCGGTCACTTCTTCCAATAATGGCTCTTGGGCTCACAGATGTCACATGTTATCCTAATCCTCTCTGTTCCTGTGTTTTTCCGTGCACATGATAACTTTACTTTTTTCAAAGGTGAATTATATAATTTTTAAAGACCTACTACACATCAATTACCACATGTAGTGCTGACCATCTCGTGACTGACTGAAGCGACAACACAAAGAGCTGGCACCGAGCTGGAGTGGTCTCCAGTCCCGGTCACACCTGGTGGGTGACAGTTGTAAGACACATCCCAACTTCAGCACTGTTAAACTGTGTGTGTGTGGGGGGGGGGGGGGGGATGTAAATAAATAAGGAAAAGAATTAATTGAAGAGTTCCACAGGAATTTGTTTCACAGTAATCAAAACTGTACCTAAAAGTTTTTGGGAACACTAAAGCATATGGCAAATGTAAGAAATTGTAAAGTCCATTAAAGTGGTAAAATGTTTCCGATGCACCCATTCTTGGAACTATGAAAGGAATCATTTCTGTGAGTGCTTACCCTCTGTATTAGTCAGGGTTCTCTGGAGAAACAGAACCATTAGGACATATGAAGATTTATTATAGGAATTGGCTCACATGGTTATGCAGGCTGAGAAGTCCCACAGTTTGTGGTCTGCAAGCTGGAGACCCAAGAACGTCAGTGGTATAAATTAGTCCAAGTCAAAGGCCTGAGAACCAGGGGTTCTGATGTCCAAGAGCAGAAGAAGATGGATATCCCTGCTCAAGAAGAAAGAAGGAATTCATCTTTCCTTCACCTTTTTGTTCCATTCAGGCCCCAAATGGGTTGGATAATGTCCCTCCACATTGGTGACAGGGGATCTCTGTACTCCGTCTACCAAATCAAATGCTTCCAGATACACCCTCACAAATACACTAAGAGATAAGGTTTTACCAGCATTCTGGGCATCCCTCAGGGTAGTCGAGTCAAAGTACAAAACTAACCATCAGACTCTCTCTTTTGATGGAAATAAGGATGGCTAATGTTCACACACAAGCCATGTTCCTAGTGCCTCTGTACCCCCCTTGCTGTGCTCCCCTTTATCCAAGTCCCCTTCCCTGGCAGGGAGGTTAGATAGAGGATGAGCCGAGGTCAGCAGGGTGAGGGTAGGAGACATGTGCTGTGTCTTCCACCCGCTGTCTGACCAGGGAGCCTGGAGGTGAAATTGGGATGGTGCCTGAGGAAGAATTCTTACCAAGCAGGAGGCCCATTTCCAGAAGACGCCCTCCATGTGAACCATACCAGAGACAACAGCCGGGTGGCAACAACTGCAGCCCAGTGGGAAGCTGGGGAACCAGGACAGAGCAGACGGAGGGAAGCACAGATCAGCATGGGTGGAAAGGGCCTCAGGCTGTGTGAACTCGACAGAAGCAGGACAATCCCCAAGGTTGAGTTTTTTCAGGTACTTGCCCAGGTGTGGAGGGTTCTGGTCAATGTGCTTTGATGAGACAGGTTTCGACCTC